ACTATAAGGGTTTTGGTTACTTTTTTGCGACGTTTTAGTTTGATTTGTTTTATGTGGATTTCCAGAACATCTGAGTTTGTTTTGAGTAGACTCAGGGTTATCGTAAGGGCTGTTACGGGCTTTCTGGTTTATGGCGATTGCGGTTTAGGGTTTAGAGACTTTTACGGTTTATAGAGGCGCCTTAGCATTTCGATTTTGGTTTTGGGGTGTTTTGATTAAGCCTCACTTCTAAGCCATGACCCTAAACCCAAACATACAGTGCAGTTGTATTCTGGGAAGTTGTTCTGCTAGCCTGCCAATAATGTGTGTTTTCATCCCGTCTTGCCGGGCAGAAAGCCAAGTCGACGTTGACGTTCTTCGACCACAGATCCAGAAGAAGCATGAGTCCATGCAGAGCATCCTCGACAAGATCCCTGAACCCTGAACCCATGATCGATGACGGCGGAAGCAGCGGGATCGTGTCCATTCAGACAGATCTCCCCAAGCAAGAGCCGGGGCAAGGGCAGCAGGCCAGCGCTTTTGCGGGATCTCCGGATCCAGTGCTCCCAGCACACCTGGATGCAACACATCCTCCAATCACCCCTCCTTGAAGGATCATGGGACTTAGTAAGTCAGGTTATAAGTACCTTAATTGGGGTTATAAGTATAGTTACCCTATTTAAAAAACCCTAGTTACTAAGTCCCATGATGCTTTAAGTCTCCTCCATGTCAACAGCAAAAGCTACGAGGATTTGGGTCTTATGGTGAAAGGCCATCTCCAGACACTGGCGGGAAATCTCCCTCAGGGGTGGAGGTTGCTCACGGTACATACTTGGAAGGATCCGGGTTTAGGGTCTGGAGTTTCAGGGTTTAGGTTTGATTAGTATTTAGGGTTTTAGGTTTTAAGTTGGTAGGTTGTAAGTAGAACTATGGCGAGGCTAGCTCCACTTAGGAGTTTACTGTCGCAGCACTCTTCGCGTTCCTTGTAAGTCTCCTTCGCCTTCACATCTGTTCTTCAGGAAGGATCTCTTCTTTTTTTGCTGGCTGTTGGGATGACTTGGCCGGAACAATTCCAATCCTACCCCCATGTCCTTGAACCTTTGTTCCTTGAGCCTTGAAACAGTAACGGTGCAATCCCGAATCTCGACGTCTTAAACCCTAATCCCTAAACCCTAAACCCTCAACCCCTAAACCCCTAAACCCTACACCCGCAGAGAGCTCCCACCGCTTGCTGGGAATTCCCGGAGGCGTTGAGTTGAGGGTTTAGGGTTTCGCAGTTTTCCTGGTATCCCACTTCCCAGAGACTCCAAAACCCCTTAAGTAAGCAATATGCCTTACAGCATATAAAGGATCCTCTGATAATTCAAGGTGTCTTCCTTAATTCCCTTATAGAGCCCTTGTAGATCCCTTTAAGGAGCCCTTGAAGGAACCTTAGGTTCACTGTACATTCCTGAATTGCGGGGTTTGGGAGTCCCTCGGAGGTGACTTTGGGTCCTTACCATACTACTCAGGAACCTTGTAGGGACCCTTCTAGCACCCGAAACCCTAAACCCTAAACTCTAGTGTGCTCGGCACAGATTTTGGTTAGCAGCACTGACCTTTACAGTCCAGCTACACACTGTCGTGTTCCTGCAAGGTTTCGCATGGGGGCACGAATGCCCAGGTGGGGCAAGTCGTAAGTCGTAACGGCCTCGTGCACAGTGTGGTCGTACAACTTTGTGTAGGTACGTATGGTCGGAGGCAGTGGTGCAGGAGATGAACAAGGAACTCCGGGGGATCCTATACATTTTCTCGAGCCACCACGAGGAAAAATTGCACATGTGGACTTCGCGGACGCTTGCAAACTATCTGGATTTTCTGGCCGTGGAAATACGGCAGAAGCGCTTGGCCTTGGCTAGATGCCAACGAGAAAGCGCTGGTCCTATGCGACGCCGCGAGTGTCCACGGTGCTTCCACCCTTGCCACGGTGCGGGCGAACTTCGAACGCGAAGCCAACGCCATCCTGATCCATGGCGGCCACGCGTGCGGAGATGACCGGGTCACCATACCTGGGGGTTGGGGGGCAACTGAAGCTGCCGACGCACGAGGAGGGCGAGCCCGGCCTCTGGGCCAGCGGCGTCGGCTCCCTGAGCATCCTCCACGTCAGCGGCTTTCGAGAACGAGCTCTCCGAAGAGCAGCTCCAAGCTTTGGCGGACGAGTGGGGCCAGGAGCGCGACACAACCTTTCAGTTTCACAAGTTTACTAGCGGCGCCAGTGGCGAGCTGTCACTAAAATGGGGCCCGGTTGCGAACTCCGAAAGCGTCCAGCAGGCGCGCACCTCGAGTGCCGGATCTGGCTCCGGTTCCGAAGCCGCTACGTTACCTGATGGTGCGGCGCCTCATGCGCAGCACCTGCAGCAAAGGCCGCCTTGGTGTTACCACCGTCATTACCATGTCCGTCATCATCATCACTGCAGTCTTGCAATCGGTCGCATATCGAGTGGTCATCGTCGTCGGCAGCGCCGTCGTCGTCGGAAGCTCCCCTGGGTTTCGGGCTCATGGCACATGCACACCAGAATGCTGCAGAGGAACTGGCTGAAGAAGAGGAGCCAGAAGAAGACCCTGAAGTTGATGAACCCAGGCATGAAGTGGATCAGGATGCCCCCGCCACCCTGCAAGAAAAGATCCTTATGAAGCAATGAAGCATCTCATTGGTTGGCTGTTAGCCTTCCAAATGCATAGCCTGCAGGGCTATCCTGGAATGGGCCAGGCAAGACTGCAAAAACAGAGTTGTGTTGTAGGAGATTTGCCTTGCCATTGTGCAAGCACAGAGCCAAGAGCCAGAGGTTTCAGCAAACGAAGCCAGGATTAAAGCCACCATCAGAACCATGAGGGCGGTTTAGGGCTAAGGGTTTAGGGATTCGGGTTTAGGGATCAGAATTTAAGGTTTAGGGATTCGGGTTTAGTTCGGGTTTTTGACTGGGGGGTTGCGGGGTTTAGGGCTTAGACCTTAGAGGTTTAGGGATAAGATATCTGCGAGCCTCCGAGTAGGGCAGATGGAGTTCATATCTAGCCGAGGCGAAGACGCTGTTCAAGCTCAGCAAGGACTCAGCCCCGATCGGCCCTAAACCCTACACCCTAAGCCCACAGCCTTAAACCCTACACCCCAAACCCTCGTTTATAAACCCTTAACTATATTCTGCAATTGGGGTTTGGGGTTTATCTGTTATCAGGGTTTCGGCGTATCTGAAGCCGTAGTTGCACTGCTTAGCCGTCGGTGTGCTTATTTCTTGCAGCTTAGCTGTTCAAAAGAAACTCTTTCGTGCGAGCACGGCGTTTGTTCATGTGCGAAGCTGTGTTCGAAATCGACCCCGCAAGAAACGTATCGTAGGTCGCGGTTGCACTTCTCAGCAGTCGGTGTGCTCATTCCTTGCAAAGTGTTGTGCTTCGAACGAAAATCCCGTCCTGGTACGGCGTTTGCTAATGTGTCAAGCAGTTTCCAAATATGCGCCGCCAAAACCGTGTCTGAGGTCGTAGTCGCGTTTCTTAACGGTCGGTGTGCTCATTCCTTGCTTTTTGGCGCTTCCAAAGAATATCTCGTCCAAGGTACGTCATTTGCTCGCCAGATATCTGACGTCGTCGTTGCACTTGTTGTCTGGGACGAAGGATTTTTTTCGAAGAGCTAAACTGCAAGGAACCCTAAACCCGAAACTGTTTAGGGTTTGATGTATACATACCGCAAACCTTCGGCATCAGCTCCATTTGGGTTAACATGTAGGCGTGTATGCTTAGAATCTACTTTACAACCCAAAGCCCCACGCCTTAAACCACGCATCCGCAAGCCTATAAGCTTGAAGTCCCGCGCCCCAAGCCCTAAACCCCAATCTTAAGCCCAGAACTCCCCGAATCTTTAAATCCCAAACCCAAAGCTCCAAGCCCTAATCTTCAAAACCAAAACCCCAAACTCCAAATCCTGAGCCCTCATCCCCAAACCCTCAACAGCGAGCTTTCAAAACTTGCAATCCTAAGCGTCGAACCAACGCCTTGAACCCCAACCTCGGAACCCGAAGCCCGAGCTTTTCTCGGATCGTAGGGGTCCCTTAAGGGTTTAGGGTTTTTGCTAGGGCCATGCGCGCACTGCGAACGCGTAGGTGCCATCTAACAGACCGGGGTTTTACAATACATCGCCGCAGCAAGGATGCTACTATGTAGGGTTCATGTAGGGCGTCCGTTGTTTTATAAAACGTTCGTATGAGAAGTGATAAGAGTGTAAAGGCATTTAAGCATGGCAGAAAAATACGGTATTTGTTTATCTTGCTGTGCATTGTCCCCACCCGTGTGTATATATATATATATATGAACTAATATATACACACATGCTTACGTTTTGTACACCCATCTACCTCCGTCTTTCTCCATGGCTCCATGCCTGTTCGTCTGTCTGTCCGTCTGCCTGCCTGCCTTCCTGGTCTACCTATGTATATATCTACCTATGTATCTATCTACCTGCCTTCCTAAGTACATACACTGGCTTCGCGACCCAGGCCTTGAACACATCTGTTGTTTTCTCGAAGCAGTTGTGTCGACCAAACATATCCCCAGCGAGAATATTTGGACTTGTACGTGTTACATATATTGTCCACCACATAGACTCCCAAGATCAGAGGCGTTAGATCCTAAACCCCTAAACCTTGCAGGGATCCGTAGTAGACCATGAGATAGGAACTGAGTTTCGGCACGTTTTGTCCATTCTGGCACGCAGCTTTGCGTACAAGCCTTTGTCCACGCGGCGTAGAATTCATCTAATCACGAGGAACATAAAGCCACCCCAGCAGCTTTTTGTACTCACATACTAGTAATCTTACCCCGCACCCCAGGGCTAAGTACTTCTTCGAGGCTTACACAAACAAGGTTCGGTCGGTACTCGCCTTTCCGATACCCTAAGCTTTTTTGTCGGGATAGAGCGTATTGGAACGGTTTTATGGCGTTTCGTAAGAGGTTTATAGGGGCCTGTGGAGGGATTTCAAAGGGCTTCAATCGCCATGGCTGTTCTGAAGAAGCTACTGAATGCTGACATGATTGGGAAGCTGGTGGAGCACCCAGAACAGCTGGACATGCCTGAGCTGATAGAGTGGCCTCGGTGGTATTTGCAAGGCTTTTGTGATTTGGTGTGATGTTTTGAACCCCATATCATAAACACTTCATAAAACAACCTTACTTTAAACCCTACATCCCTAAACCTTTTATACAACTGAACATAGAGCTTCAGAAGCGCAAACTTAAGCGCTCGCCGATAGACGGGATCAGCAACTTTCCCTACATAGCTGTGTGCTGCTTGAAAGCTAGCGGTTTAGGGGTTTAGGGTTTTAGGGGTTTAGGGCTTAGAAAGGGAAATGTGTAATATAGGAGACTAAACAACACCCTTCCTTGTGGTGCCTTAGCATACTTATGACACAGTGTTGTAGAATTTTTGGCACCTGTAGCCTATAGTAGTCCTTAAACCCTGAACCCTAGAAAACCCGCATAATGAGGCCATCCAGGAACATTCGAAACAACCCTAATCTAAGCTTTCAGGCCCCCTGAAGTAGCTTAAGTGAGCGGGCTAGCTTCAGCGAATCCTAAACCCTAAACCCTGAATCCTTAATCCTAGACCCAAAACCTTACATCTTGAGAAAATGGAAGAGGTCACGTTTCCTCAATGCTACCACGGTTTGGGTTTAGGGTTTCGGGGTTTGGGGTTTGGGGTCTGGTTTGGGGTATGTTGTGCTGTGGCTACATTGGGGAACCCTATCGATTGCTGTTATGTACGAGTTCTTCAGGCATCTCCGTAAGGCCTTCAAAACCGAGCTCTTGCGTGATTGTCAAAATTAAGGTCCCTTCTTGGGAACCCAAAACATTAAGTGCCGTACTATATTAGGGACCAAAACAGGTACCATAATTTTGACAGCCACCCACTTGTTAAGGAGTTTCATTTAAGTTGCCATTATAGGGATTTATGGTAAATAATGTGGTTTCCTCATTATGGTAGCTTTAGATTCCCTAACAAGAACACAGCAACGCCCCAAACCCTCAACCCTGGACCCTAAACCCTAAACCCTAAAGCCTAAACCAAAAGTCCACCGCGCCCGCCCAGGCTGTCACGTAACTTCTTCAAGATGCAGGCGGTGCTGAGTATTTAGGGTTTAGGGTTTAGGGTTGAGTATTTTTGTCCCCAAACTCCTAAACCCAAACCCTCCAAACCTCTCAGAATCAAATCTCTGAACCCTTAATGCCAAACTCTAGAACCTTAAATCCTTAACCCTAAAGCCCTAAACTCCTCCACCCCTAAACCCTAAATCCTAAGCCTTGAACTTGATACCTGAAGGGACTTAGCAAGTACAGTTATAAGTACCTTATCTGGGGTCATGAAAAACTTGAAGTATAGTTACCTGTTTTCAATCCGTAGTTATGAAGTTCCATGAACCTTTAAGCAGAGCTCGTCAGCTTGCAGGCGGTGGTGGGCGGCTTGGCCTTCCTGTATGGCGCCTGCCATAGCTCGATGGGCGGCTGGACTTACGCAGTCGGGGTTAGGGGGTTTAGGATTGGCGGTTCCTTTAAGGGTTCCTGCAGAGGGATCTATAAGGATTCTATGAGATGTGAGGGTAATTTTCATCAGGATTTTGTAAGGCATGTGTAAGTTTTTCCAAATATGGGTCTGACAGAGAGTTGTTAGATGGCGTGATCTGGGCTTTGAGCTCTTTTCTTTTATAGGGTTGTGTAAGGGGTTAGGTTCACAACAAACGCATGAATACAGGATCTCTTTGTCGGGGGACAAAGGCCTCCGAAAGATTCCGAAAGGAGAATTCCAGCTAAAACCTTCTTTGCAAGATCCTCATGGGTGGTTGTCAAAACTATGCTCCCTTTTTGGGTCTCTGATATAGTACGGCACCTACTATAAACTATTGAGGGTACCCAAAAAGGGGATCCGAATGTTGACAACCGCCCTTATGTTGACGTGAACTGTCGTGCCAGTGTGCCGTATCGGAATCGGCTGGTCAACCCTAAACCCTAAACCCTAAACCCTAAACCCTAATCCCTAAACCCTAAACCCTAAACCCTAAACCCTAAACCCGAGGAGAGTTTCGGGGTTTGGGTTACATCCTCGCCCCGAAGCCCTAGACCTTGGTAAGAGAGGTTAAGGGTGCTGGGAACAGGTGATTTTTCTGTAGCTCTCCTGCCTTTACGAATTCTTCGGAATCATTGTAGGATGTGAGAGGAACTGCAATCTGCGAGCCCACAGTTACCCGTCTAAACTCTAAACCCTTCAATCCTGAACCTAGACTCTTCAATCCTATGCCTCCAGGCTTAAAGCCCTTCAGCCCTAAGCCCTCAACCCCAAACCCTAAGCCTCTAAACCCTAAGCACCACGCCATGAGTCTGAAGTAGCACCGCTTTTGCCCATACAAGGATAAATATTCCAGAGCCCGCAAAAACTTTTTTAATCAGGAATGTAACCTTTAAGGGCTCCTTAAGGGGATCTATAAGTGGATTCAAGAATTTCCTTAAATTTACCTCAAATTATCATAGGGTCCCTAATTCGATTTAAGGTCTATTCCGTTGCATCACCGTATGATTCAGGATAGCATAGTAACTTAGGGCACTCGAGTATATATGTCATTGTATCTTCTACCCTGCGACTCTCATTTCTTGCTTGGGTCAAGATGTGTTGGGGTTCAGGGCTGCGGGAGTACATGTACTTGGAGGATCATGGGACTTAGTAAGTAAGGTTATAAGTACCCTAATTGGGGTTACAAGTATAGTTACCTTGTTTATACCCCTAGTTACTAAGTCCCATGATCCTCCAAGTAGTTCATTCAAACACCCATCCGCAAACCCTAAACCCTAAACACCCATCCGTAAACCCGAAGTTCGGCAGATCTCACTGGCCAGGCCTGACGACAGTGGGTAACTTCCTGATGCCCTTGCTCGGCATCTACAGCAGCCAGGCTCTCACCAAAAAGCCCCCGCACGGTTTAGGGTATAGGGTTTAGGGTTTAGAAGAAGCCCCCCCCCAACTAAACACCGCAAGCACAGAAATCCGAAATCCTTTCAAGCAACTCTGGATTCTCAACGCCCCAATGGTTACCCTAAGCCCTAAACCCTCAACCCTAAATTTCAACCTAAACCCTAAACCCTAAACCCTAAACCCTAAACCCTAAACCCTAAACCCTCAACCCTCAACCCTAAGTTTCAAGTCCGAAACCCTCAGCCTGAAACGGTGCAGCGCCAAGATCAGCACCTGTGCCTTAGACGCTAAGTCGCCGATCAAGATGCAAAGTCAAGCCATGTGGGATTTTCCGAAAATTAGGGGTACCTTATTTTAGGGTACTTGTGATGAGGATTCTACTCTTTCGTGCACTATATGAGGGTCCCCCTTTTTCGGAAACTCCCATGTACAGCCCATCTTAGTCTTCAAACACTCGTTAGTATTGGTGTCCCCTTGTGGTCCCGATTTAGCTACGCCATAATATACCCCAAAGGAAACGCATATAGTAGGCTTCAATACGGTGAAAGGCGCTCTCAGTGCTTCTTTACCTTTAACGGTGACTCTACTAAAAACCTACGTAGAGCACGCCCTGCTCCTTGTAAGTACTTGGAGGGTCGGGGGACTTAGTAACTGGTTATTTTAGGGACTTATAAGTACCATAACCCCAATTAGGGTCCCGTTTAGGGTACTTACAAGTCTACTTACTACCTACTTACTAAGTCCCCTGACCCTCCAAGTTGTAAGTAAGCCCAAGCAAGGCACGCGTGATGACAACCCCGACAACTACAAGTGCTTGCGGCTCCCCAGATTAATATAGAGGCTTGAACGGTTTCCTAGATTGTGCTCAAGGCTGCTGTTTTGCGAAAATATAGGGGGCCTGAAATAATTACCTATACTTTTTTGGGGGTTCCTTGTTGTAAGTATAGTATAATGGGCCCAAAACCTTATTCTGATTATTGAGGCCCCTGTACTGCACCCATTCTAGTTATTGAAGCCCTTGCATATTCGAATCTTTCAGAGCGCGGGCTGTAGGTTCTTCGAGGATTGACTGCTCAGGGTGTCGTAACACTTGTAGAAGGGGTTCTGAAAGAGTTCTACAAGGAATCTTTGGGGTTTTAAGGTTTAAGCGACGGTTTAGGGTTTAGGGTTTAGGGTTTAGGGTTTAGGGTTTAGGATTCTGTCTGAGGGGTTTGCTTCCTGTGGCTTTGGGTGTCAAGGTTTAGGCTGCTTCAGGGTGAAGGGCTTTTCGCTCATAGTTGTGTTGAGTCTGGAAGAATGCATCATACCAAAAGCAGGCTGAGAGTGGCAGAGGGGTCGGTCCTTCAAGAGAGTGATGAGAGGGGTTTGGTTCTTTAGTTTTTGTTGGAGGTCTGACAAGCACGGAGGTTTAAGGTTTACAGTTTCTCACAAGCTGTGTTGAGCTCTAGCAGAATGGCCCATTTCGGCATAGCGGTTTCTGATAGGTCATCAGAATTCCAACATACGTGGCGTAATGCATGGACGGCTGATACCTTAAACCCATCCCGGAGCCTGAACTTAACACGGGTTTGATGGATGTACAAGGGCTGTCGCAGGCCCGGCGTGTGCATTGCAACACATTTTGGACAGGCAAACCTCAAAAGGGGTTCCTGATGCGACGTCAGTGTTTACAGTTTAGTGCACCTAAGCCCTAGCCCTCAAACCCTTTAATCCCTAGACCCCGAAGCACTAAAGCCGCAAACCTCAAACCTTACAGTAAAACCCCGAAAGCCAACTCATGTCTGAGGCTTCCATGTACTGGATCCTTGGCCCTAGGGCCGTTCAGGGGGTTAAGAAGTGTATTGTTTAGGGTTTAGGGCTTAGGGACCTACTATAGATCGCTTGTGACCCCTTTCAGGATCCTTTCAAAGGGAAGCCCTATTCCCTACATTAGGGTTTCTGTGAGGCTCTGTGCCATGTACTGGATCCTTGGGGCAATCTTTTCCTTCTTCGAAGCCTTCCTGGGCTTCGATTTGCACAAGGCGACACGGACTGGGTTCACTGTTCCGGCTGTACTTGAAGGATCATGGGGCTTAGTAAGTAAGGTTATAAGTACCTTAATTGGGGTTATAAGTATAGCTACCCTAATTATAACCCTAGTTACTAAGTCCCATGATCCTTTAAGTATGGGTAGTTCTCTAAAGTAGGGCCTTCAAAATAGAACGGCACCCAAATAAAAAGGGCCCGAAACGGGGCCTTGTTTTTTGAGAACTACCCTTATACAGCTGGAGGGCGCTGCCCCTAAACCCCAAACCCCTCAGCTCAGGCTTGGGGTTTGGGATGGTTTACTTGGAAGGGCAGGGGACTTGGTAAGCAGGTAGTAAGTAGACTTATAAGTACCCTAAATAGAGTTACCCCAATTGTAAACCTACTTATAACCTACTTACTAAGTCCCCTGCCCTTCCAAGTAGGGCTTTGCTTTCCGAGCTTAGCCCTGAAAAGGGTTTGACAAAGGGTTTTTTAAAGCACCTCTTGTTTCAAAAAAGCCCTAAACCATCCTGAACCCTAAACCCTAAGCCCTAAATCCTGAACCCTAAGCTGAACCTCAGACGTTTTGGTCAAGCTTTCGATGTGTCGTTTGCAGTTCAGACGTGAGTTTCATCGTAGGGTTAAGGGTTTTGGTTTTTAGGGTTTAAGGGTTTTCAGGGTTTTCAGGGTTTCAGGGGTGGTTTAGGAAGAGTATCTGTTGAGTAGCTTAGAGTTTGGTAGGATCAGGCTTTCTCTTGATTCGGGGCTCAAAATTTAAGACACAGACGACAACACGAAGTGAGGTGACCATTGGCACTTTGAAGACCACCGTCTACGGCGTGCAGTGGCTGGTGCTGGCCCGCCACCGGGTGTAAGCTAAGGGTTTGGGGTGTAGGACTGTTTCAAGTTAAAGGGTCTAGGGTTTGGGGTGGTTGATTGACGCTCTAAAGTTTCAGGTTTGTGATTGGATGTGCTGGTAGGCCACTGTTGACTGTATGGTTTTCATGTAGTGCCAGAGCTCGACACAATATCTCAAAATCCTGCGCTCAACAGATGAAGCTCCAAGCCAAAAGACGTTAAAAACCCTGAATACGGTTTCCGGGGTGCGGGGCTTGATCTTATTGCCATACTATCGCTGAGGCTTGTGGAGGTGGCTGCAAGTGCGGTACGTCGGAACTGTGAAGTTTTATCTGAACGTGGTCATCAAGAACAAGAAGGAGGTGGAGGATTCCTTCTTCTGGTTTTGGCGTTTAGGGTTTAGGGGTTAGGGTTTAGGGTTTATGGTCTCGGGGCTCGTGTTCAGGAACTTAAAGACTTACGGTTTTTCCAGGGTCTTGTAGGGTTTTGGAAGGCTTGAACGGGTTTTTGTATTGGTTTATAAATTGTTGTTCTTCGTCTTTCCAGATGACCACCGAAAAGCTGTGTACTGGGAAACCGTCGACGGAAACGAATCAGCCGCCCTAAGCCTGAGACCTAAACCCCAAACTCACCAACATACTAGCAAAACCTCCGAACATACGCGCCTCAAAATTCGACAACACACTTATGGAGTGGACTATAGTATTCTTATGAGAATGAGTCGTGAGGCATGCCCGGCCAGTCTTCTAATGTCAGGGAACCCTCTGGCCATAATGTGTCTCTTCTTGGAAGGAAGCAACTCCTCACATCCCACTCCTGTTCCGCAAGGTACAGTCGTATATGCTAGCCCGTAAACCCTAAGCCCTATAAAACACATAACCCTACACCCTAAACCCTACTTAAAGGATCATGGGACTTAGTAAGTAGGGTTATAAATCAGGTAACTATATTTATAACTCCAGTTAGGGTACTTATAACCTTACTTACTAAGTCCCATGATCCTTCAAGTACAGTGTAAGCCCTTAGCCCCAAAAAAGCTTCCGAAAGCTGAAAACCCCCAAGAAGCTAAGCTCCCCATCCACAACCCCGCAGGCCCAGGAATCCCTACGACTTAGGGTTCCTTTAAGGGGCTCCTTAAAGGGATCTATAGGGTTTAGGGTTTAGGGTACTACTTGGAGGATCATGGGACTTAGTAAGTAAGGTTATAAGTACCCTAATTGGAGTTATAAGTATAGTTACCTCATTTATAACCCTAGTTACTAAGTCCCATGATCATTCAAGTAAGACCTGAGCTCCACGCCCTACCTTAACTGCGGTTTAGGGTTTAGGGTTCGGGGAGTTTTTTTGAAAGTACGTGATTAAGGAAACTCGAAAAGGGAACCCTAGAAACACTAACAACATGTGGGGTTTTCTAGGGTCCAGGTAGGCCATGCAGCCAGCCACATTTATTCTTTTAACACTGAAGCCCCATAAACACCCTAAACGCCTACAGTAAACCCCAAAAAGTTTGAAACCGGATTAAGGACAATTAGTGCTGGGATCCCTTATACATGACTCTTAAGGATTGAGGCTATTGGGTTTCCAACTTTTGGGCTTCTACTGTAAACCCTCGCAGATCCGACGTAGAACCCTTGCCGAAGCTCGAGCTCCAAGCAAGATCATTCCTTTTCATTCCCAAACATGCAAAACGGTTGATGATATAAATCCTGCATTACCCATAATGAGGAATATACCATAATTCCCATAGTTTAGGGTTCTTAAGGTAATGCAGGATATATATCAGCAACAGGAGAACTCTTAGAAGATCCTTAAACTTTATATACAGCCTTGGCCCTGGAACCGCAAATCCCTGCTTCGATCCCTCTCATCCCTCGATCTCTTAGAAAGCTGCTTTAGATCCCTTGCACACCTGATTGAAACAGAACCCTCAAGCCTCAATCCCTAGATCCTTTTTGATACCTTTCAGGTCCTTTACCGATCCCGTTGAAGGGGTTTAGGAACCTACCGAACCCTACCCCAAAATCCCCAAACCCTACAGCCTTAAATCCCTAATCCCTGAATCCCTAAATCCCCAAACCCCTAAACCCTAAACCTTAAAGGCACCGTATACAACAATCTCCAGAAATCCCTAGTTGCAGGTGGGAGTTGCCGAAAATAGAGGACCCTAATAGAATACCCTCAATAGTAGGATCCTTATTATAAGGACCCAAAATAAGGTACCCCTAATTTTCGGAAACCCTAAACCCTAAACCCTTTATAGAACCCTTACAGATCCCTTTAAAGGAACCCTTAAAGGATCCCTTTAAAGGTACCCCCTGACTTTCGGAAACTCTAAACCCTTATAGAGCCCTTTAAAGGAACCCTTATAGTACCCTTATAGTAACTTTTTTTAAGGAGCCCTGAGGTACCCCTTAATTTTCGGAAACTCTAAAGCCTAAACCCAAAACCCTTTCAGGAACCCTTAGAGGATCCCTTTAAAGGATCCCTTTCCTACTTTTCGGAAATCCCTGAAACCCTAAACCCTATAGATCCCTTATAAATTAAAGGAACCCTTAAAGGATCAGGTACCCCTAATTTTCGGAAACTCCCATATAGCCCCTTAAGGACCCCTAAACCCTAAACCCCTAAACCCTAAACCTTAAAGGAACCGTCTACACAAATCCAAAAATCCCTAGTTGCAAGTGGGAGTTTCCGAAAACAGGGGACCCTAATAGAGTACCCTGAACAGTAGGATCCTTATTATAAGGACCCAAAATAAGGTACCCCTAATTTTCGGAAACCCTAAACCCTAAACCCTTTAAAGAACCCTTACAGATCCCTTTAAAGGAACCCTTAAAGGATCCCTTTAAAGGTACCCCCTGACTTTCGGAAACTCTAAACCCTTATAGAGCCCTTTAAAGGAACCCTTATAGTACCCTTATAGTAACTTTTTTTAAGGAGCCCTGAGGTACCCCTTAATTTTCGGAAACTCTAAAGCCTAAACCCAAAACCCTTTCAGGAACCCTTAGAGGATCCCTTTAAAGGATCCCTTTCCTACTTTTCGGAAATCCCTGAAACCCTAAACCCTATAGATCCCTTAAATTAAAGGAACCCTTAAAGGATCAGGTACCCCTAATTTTCGGAAACTCCCATATAGCCCCTTAAGGACCCCTAAACCCTAAACCCCTAAACCCTAAACCTTAAAGGAACCGTCTACACAAATCCAAAAATCCCTAGTTGCAAGTGGGAGTTTCCGAAAACAGGGGACCCTAATAGAGTACCCTGAACAGTAGGATCCTTATTATAAGGACCCAAAATAAGGTACCCCTAATTTTCGGAAACCCTAAACCCTAAACCCTTTATAGAACCCTTACAGATCCCTTTAAAGGAACCCTTAAAGGATCCCTTTAAAGGTACCCCCTGACTTTCGGAAACTCTAAACCCTTACAGATCCCTTTAAAGGAACCCTTAAAGGATCCCTTTAAAGGTACCCCTAATTTTCGGAAACTCGGAGGTGGTGCGGAGCCAGGCGCGGGAGCGCTCCCGCGTGGCCGGCAAGATTCTGGGCCACTGGGCAGAACTTTTGGGGGGTTTTGGGGGTCCCTCTACAGGGATCTCTAGGTTCCCTTTAAAGGGATCTCTAGGTTCCCTTTAAAGGGATCTCTAGGGTTCCTTTAAAAGGGATGTATAGGGTTTCGGGTTTAGGGTTTAGGGGTTTAGGGGTTTAGGGTTTAGGGGTTCAGGGGTTTAGGGGTTTAGGGTTCAGGGGTGTGTCGATGCTCCGCGCACACCACCACGCGAGACGTGTGTTGTGGTGTGCGCCTAGGTTCAACGCTCTCGCCCTACCCGCCCACCCAGTCTATGACCTTTGTCGGGTTTAGGGTTTTTTTCAAGGTTTGTGGCTTGGTCTGGCGGTGGCCCAAAATCAGGGCAAGCATGGCAGAGGCAGGACAGGGCGGGGCAGGGCACGGCAGAGCAGGGCAGAGAGGGCAGGGCACCCAAGGCCAGGGCCAGGGCCAGGGCCAGGGCCGGGGCCAGGGCCGGGAGGGTCAGAGGTGGGGGCCCGGGTTTGTGGCTTGGTCTGGCGGTGGCCCAAAATCAGGGCAGGCAGGGCAGGGCGGGGAGGGCAGAGGGGCACCCAACCTGGCCAGGGCCAGGGCCGGGGCCAGGGCCGGGGCCAGGCAGGCCAGGGTCAGGGTCAGAGCGGCCCAGGTTTGTGGCTTGGTCTGGCGGTGGCCCAAAATCAGCGCAAGCATGGCAGAGGCAGGGCAGGACAGGGCAGGGCAGGGCAGCAGCGCAGAGCAGGGCAGAGAGGGCAGGGCACCCAAGGCCAGGGCCAGGGCCAGGGCCAGGGCCAGGGTCAGGGCCAGGGCCAGGCAGGCCAGGGTCAGGGTCAGAGCCGGGGGCCCAGGCAGGCCCAGGCCAGGGCCAAGGGATGGGGCGCTCCGAGGTTGAAGGTTTAGGGTCATATTGTTCTGATTGGCTAGCATGCCTGTCGCATGCGCCAGCACCTGAGCCGGTGCTGGGGCTCCTTCGCTGCGCCTGTCGCGCCAGCTACGGAGCCAGCCTCACTGACGCTTCGGCACGCTCGCTGCTGCTATTCGCAGCGCCCGCAGCTCGCTTCAGTTTAGGGTTTAGGGGTTTAGGGGTTTGGGGGTTTAGGGGATTAGGGTTTATAGGGTTTTAGGGGTTTGGGGGTTTAGGGGATTAGGGTTTAGGGTTTATTGAGGTTTGTGTTGCCCAGAGCCTCCAAAACCCCTTAATTAAGGAATATACCTTAAATCAGATCCGGGATCCCGAATTAGGGTTTAGGGTTTTAGGGGTTTAGGGCTGAGGGTTTGGGGTGTCGGGCTTGGGGTGTGTGGCCGTATGTGTGCGGTGGGTGCGCTTCTTTGGGAATGGGGGCGCGCCCACTTATCGCGCGCTTGCGTCAGCATGTAGTCCCGCCCCAAACACTCCAACTATTCTCAACTAGGGTTCAGGGTTCACCCCCAAGGCCCCCCTCGACTCAAGGGAGGCTTTCTTGCGCTCTGCTTCCCGTCGCAGTTCTTCATAAAATGTCTGCATGTCCAAGCAAAGCGCAGCTGAGATGGATTGGTGTCGGGTTGTGGGTCCTCGAGGCCTGTCGCGAAGCAAAAGTTTCCAAAAACCGGTTCGCTCCTCGCACCCATGTCAGGGTTGCTCGAAGTTTCCAGTCACGGGCTTCTGGCAAGCCGCTGAGGGTTTGGCGGCTGGAAAGCCCTCGACCGGTCATGGGTCCTTCTTTATTGCGCTTGACAGCAGAGAGGTCATTCGCGGGGCGACGTCACTACAGTCCTCATATATCAGGAGGCGTTACCCTCCCTCACCGTTCCGACAAAATGCTCGGCCGGGGGCCTCGATCAGAGCCTCGAGCGCCCATGTAAATGCTCAGCGGCGCTCTTGGCAGTTTAGGGCTCGGGGTGTAGGGAGCAGTTTCAGGGGCTCCTTTAAGAGTCTGGCGTGTTGGGGTTTAGGGGTATAAGGTTCCTTTGGGCTCCTATAATGTTCCGCTAAGGGAAGCCTTGTAGTAACTCTGGTAGGAACCGTTAAAGGAACCCTTATGGCAACAGTGTCTTCAGCCCCAGTGCCCTCTACATCCTAAAACCCTTCAAATTGTAAGCCCTCTCAACGCTTGAACAGAAATTCGAAACCCCAAAACCTGAAACACTAAACCCTTAGTCCTCGTGGTCTGACTGTCCATATACGACGTAAGAGTCTAGGGTCGAAGGACCCGGCAAGAACTGTACAAAAAACTCATTAGACCCGTATGAGAGCCTATAGACAACCGACACTTCCAGGAAAGATCGCGAATCATTTCTTGACCGACGACGCCTTCTCGGAGAAGTTGGCCGGAAACCTGGAGAAGAGCATGCCGAAGAGGCGCGCTCTGTTTTCTCTCTGTGGTTTCAAAGGATTTTTTTTAAAGGGTGTGTAACATGATTCCGGCGCAGAGGGTATAAGGAGACCCTGTTTTGAGGTTCTAGGTTGTCTTTGAGGCAGGGTTTGATAAGGGCCTTCGAAGGGTTTCACTAAGGCGTCTGTAGCTCTAGGAGGGTTCTATGAGAGCCCCTGCCAGTTGAGGAATGACGATTTTGCAAGGCGTGCGGATTAGGCGTTTACGGTTTAGGGTTGACGCTTGGAGTCCTAGCGGGTCAATATTTCCCCGAAGCCCCCAAAGCCCAAACCGAATGCCCCAGGCTTCAAACGCTCAAAGAGGGGTGGAGGAGCGGGTGAAGGCATGTTCTGGCCGTGGCCGTGGAGGGATGTGTAGGGAGCTTGCGACTAAGGCTGCCGAGGTTCGAAGTAATCATGTGTAGTACGGCTCTATATGACCATATTGCAATACTACACTCCACAAGCTGATTCTAAATATACAGCCCTCTACGTTGGCTGTCCTTGCTGCGTTTGGGAGTTGTAAATATCATATGCGAAGCTGGCGTTGGCTCGAGCAGTGACAGCGACACCACCTCTCCCATCCACGGTGTGTCACATCCAGGAGGAGAAGAGCAGATGAAGGTGTTCCACCGCGATGTCTCTCTGGTTGCCTGCTTGGCCGAGTTCGTCGGCATGACTCTGTTCGTGATAATCGGCTGCGGCAGTGCTATGGGCATCCAGGGCTCTGGCAGTTCAGGTGGCAGCGGTGGCGACGGAGACAGCACCAGCGGCGAGACGACCTCCATGATTCCGGGCTGGGTTCTCATGGTGGCTTTGGTGTTTGGCCTTTCCATCACCACCTTGGCCTACTCCATCGGACACTACAGCGGCGGCCACCTCAACTGCGCCGTGACCCTTGGCCTGGTCCTCACCGGCAACTGCCATGCGCTGCAGGGGCTTTTCAACTTCGGGGCTCAGATGATGGGCTCCATCCTTGGCGCGGCCATCCTCTGCGCCATCTTCCCGCCTGAGCTGGACATGACGAAAACCTTAGGAGCGAACAGCGTGGGTTTGAAGTGGAACTGGTGGAATGCACTGATCGGCGAGCTCGTGGGCACCTTCCTTCTGGTCTTCGTGGTCCTCCAAACGGCCTGCAATCCAAAGTCGGCCATGAACCGCAGCCAGGCCTGCTTAGCCATCGGCCTCGCCGTCTTCATGGCCCACTGTGTGCCTAGGATGCCCAGTAGTACCCTTATTCCCTTTTTGTAGTCCTAGGCTCCTTATAAAGTTACCCAATACCAAAAAGAGAGGCCTTTTGATTCTTAGGTTACTGGGTATCCTACCCTAAACCCTAAACCCTAAACTCTAAACCCCAGACCCCAAACCCCAAACCCTAAACCCTAAACCCCTAACCCCCAGGGTATCCTAGGTGCTGATCCCCATCGACGGCTGCTCCATCAACCCTACGCGCTCTTTCGGTCCGGCTCTACTCTCCTTGAGCCGCATGGAGGCCCCGAAAGCCGTGGAGCCCGTGGCCACGATGGTGGGCGAACCAGCGCTTGGGGAGGTGGGAGTTTCCGAAAATTAGGGGTGCCTTGTTTGGGGGCCTTTATAATAAGGATCCTACTATTCAGGGTATTATATTTGGATCCCACATTTTTGGAAACTCCCAGGTGGCCCCGAAGGCAGCGCCCGAGGAGGAAGCCGCGGGGCCCGGCTACTGGCGCAGCATGTGGATCTTCTGGGTCGGCCCTCTCCTCGGAGCATGCCTGGCCGCGGCTGTCTACAAGGCCATGCATAATTACCTATGCTAGTTACTAGTTTGGGGGTTCCGTATTCTAGTTATAGTGTAATGGGCCCCAAAACCCTATTCTAACTATTAAGGCCCCTATTTTACAAGGCCTAAACCCTAAACCCGAAACCCGAAACCAAGGCCATGCTCATGCTGGACGCAGTCCATGAGGAGCACACCTCGAAGCATCACCCAGGCTACAAGCGCAGGCAGACGCTCATAGAGCACGCGACCTTATCCACTTCCGCCCCCACAGATCCTGTGTCATAGTTGGGAAAAATTTCGCATGTTATGGGCACTTAAACTGAATCAGGAATAAGGATTTAAGTTCTACGAGTGTAGGAACCTGATTAAGAAACCTTGGGCCTTTACCAGGGTTCCTAATATGAATCCTACTATTTGGGGGTTCTAGGGCCATGGTTTCTTAATCAAGCTCCTACATTATTATCCCAACCGTGAGCCAGGATCCGGTGGCCGCCGGTGGACCGGTGCTCCTGGGCAGCAAGCATGGCCAGAAGGAGGGCAAGGACGTGGCTAGGGCGTCCGAGGCCCTCCAGGAGAGCAGCGTCTAGATAACGTCGGCGTTTTGTGCAGGCCGGTTGTGTGGTGCACGGTCTGCAGTTTTGTGAGCATAACTTCGCCCCACCCGACAAGTGTTCTTCCTTCTTTATCTGAGTCCCAGAAGAGGCTCAGTATTTGTTAGTCGCGGTGGAGGCACTGATCTAATTATCCTTCCCAAACTCGTTCAGCGTCTCAATGCTGACGACTGACGAGTTGCAGACATATCGAAGCAGCAGCTGAAAACAAGGCCATGTGACGTTGGGCGTTGATGTGGCTGACACCAGAGTGGTAGTTCCTTTAAAAGTTTAAATCCTGATGCCTTGTAGGCTGCAAGACGAGCTGGGCGTGACCGCAACGGTGACGAAACAGTTCCAACGCAACTGGGTCCGAAGTGGGGTTGCATTGTGTTTTAAAGAGTCTTGTGCGGTTCTCCAGCGTCATTTTTGGGTTTGTTAGTTTCTTCATGGTTCTCCTTTACTTTACGTGGCTGTGCGGGGTTTTACGGTTTTTTTTGGGTGTCGATGGATTCTGTGGTTTTCCAGGGTTTACGGTATAAGGTGTCATAGAGTTTGATAAAGTCTTACAGGTATTCTATTGCCTTGTTAAGGCTTGCTTTTAGGGTTCCTTTCATGGTATACCATGAGGTTTCACTTTTAGGGTTTGTCATCTCTGAAACAAGGGTTCGAGGAGGGTTCTACAAGGCTTGTACCGGTGTTCTCTATATGATTCTATAAGGGCTCTGTGTGGGTTTAGGGTCCTTCTTTGTGGTCTTGCCATGTGGGAATCGCTACCCCCCAAAAAAATCCGAGATCCCAACCCTAACCCCTAAACACGCGCGCACCCGAATGAGGCCACCTAATCTGCTACAGAGTAGCTGAGTGGATACACTTTACGCTTTTGGGGATAATATTACCCACTATAAAACTGAAAGTGTACACTTTTTAGGGCTTATGAACTCAGCAACTAAGGCAAACAAAAACCCAACTCGCTTGACCTTAAACGCTAAACCCAGCACCCCGCAGCCTTGAAGCCCTAAGTATCTTCAAGCCCTGAATTCCCAAACAGGCCTGAACCCTTAACCCTAGCAGAACCTTTACAACATCTCAAGCTTTGGTGGACATGAACCCTAAACCCTAAACCCTAAACCCTCCGATTCGAAAAGAGCACATGAAAAAGAACCCTAAACCCTAAACTGTTTCTTTTAAGGGGTGTCGGCCTCTCTTCCTACTTGGAGGGTCGGGGGACTTAGTAAGTAGGTAGTAAGTAGACTTATAAGTACCCTAAAGGGGACCCTAATTGGGGTTATGGTACTTATAAGTCCCTTAAATAACCAGTTGCTAAGTCCCCCTAAACCCTAAACCCTATACCCTTATAGAATCCCTATAGATCCCTTTAAAGGGGCCCTTAAGGAACCCCTTATAGTTACTAAGTCCCTCCAAGTAACCCGATGCCCCAGCCCGTGAAGCCCCGGAGCCTTCACAAACAGAAGCCCTCGTGGCTTCCCTTTTGGGGTAGGTTGGTAATCCTCAACCCATTAGGGGCTCCTTCAAGGGATCTATAGGGTTACTTAAAGGCTCATGAGACTTAGTAAGTAAGGTTATAAGCAGGGGTTATAACTAGGATGACCCCACTTAGGTGACTTATAATCCCAAATATATAATCTACTTAGTAAGTTCCATGATCCTTCAAGTAGCTTAGGGGTACCACAGTGTTCTAGAATAGGGCGTCTTTAAGTGAAAGGCCTCGTTGAGTGCTTCAAGGCCCAGGGGTTCGCCAGTACAGTTACAGCCCAAGATTAGGGTTTGGTTTAGGGTTTAGGGTTTAGGGTTTAGGGCTATGGCTATGGCCCATGATCCCGCAAGTAGCCCTTGATTTAAGGAACTTGGATGAGGAAGAATTGGGGGATGTCTCTTGAGTTATTTTTTCCTTAATAAAGGATGCACCGTAAACCCTACACGGAACGTCTTAAAGTCCGAAGCCTAAACCACGCCTTACAATCCCATACCCCGAAGCCGTAAAAGGCTTGTAGAATCCGCCGATTAGACCCGAAAACGTGAAGGCTTGTCAGAAGCTTCAGATTGAACCCTTTAAGACCCTATGAAACCCAACATACAGCACCAAAAAGCTCAAACATGCCCAAAACCCAACACCGAATTTCTGGACGACCCTGAACCCTAAGCCCGAAAACCCTGAAGCCTTAAATATCCTAAACCCTGAACTCGTACTTCTAACTGTGGATAACGGATAAGACCTGCGCGTGGAAAAAGGAATTCAAAAACAACTCTGAACCCTAAAACCCTGCAAAGTACTCAAACCCCAAACTCTAACCCCAAATCCAAACCCTCACCCAACCCTACCGCCAAGACCCTAGAGCCTTAACCCGAAACCCTAAACCTTAAACCCTGTATCCCCGCCAAAGACCCAGGGGGCAACTTTTTGGTTCTCCTGGTGTCCATCGAGCAGTGCCCCGAAGTGCGGAGAATTTAGGGCTACCTTAATCCACCAAAGCCTACTTTTCTGTAGGGTCCCTATAAATGCCCTATTAAGGTTTATAATAGGAACCTACAAAAAAGTAGGGTTTGGTAGTTTAAGGTAGGGTTAGCAATAAGGTGACTTTACCTATAATTAAGTATACCCCCAATTCAGGTACTTATAACTGTACTTGGTAAGTCCCAGGAATTTCCAAGTAGTGATTGGCCTAGAGTTTAGGGTATATTCTAGTATAACTGACGGTAGAACCTATATGAGCCATAAGGGAATAGTTTGGTGTCTAACCCAGAGGCTTCATATACGGGAAGTTTTCGAAACTAGGGACTCGTTTTACGTCTACGTGCCCAAAAAGTTCAGGACCCTTATACGAATCAGCCGAAAAACGGCCCTAAATTTAAAGAACTACTCATATACTATAATTGCGGAGTTAGGTCTGTAAAGCCCTATCAGGGATGGTATTTGGAGTTGCATAATTCCAGAATGGTATTATCTATGGCTTAGTAGCTGAGTTTATGAACTTTAAACTTTTTGGGATAATGAAACCCTCTTAAAACTGAAAGTTTAAACTTTTTTTGGCTTATGAACTCGGCACCTAAGATGGAGCCTCTGGGCTAAGGGTTGTTTCTTTCAAAGGGTTCGAAGGGTTTCAGATCCAGGGCTTTTGAAGTTTCTAAGGGGTTCTTTAGGACGAAACCCAAGACCCAATACTTGGAGGATCATGGGACTTAGTAAGTAAGGTTACAAGTACCCTAAATGGAGTTATAAGTATAGTTACCGTATTTATAACCCTTGTTACTAAGTCCCATGATCCTTTAGGTAGTATGGTGTCTACGACGGTGAAGCGTTTCTTAAAAGGGTTCAGGGCTTAAGGTTTAGGGAACTTCGCGTAATTTCCAGTTCGAACCCCAGATGCAGCCAGATGCATGAGTCGTAGTCCCCAAGGAGCTTTAGTTCATAGTCAGCTTCTGTTTTGGGTTCCTACGCGTGGTAGTGGGTATTCAAGCGTCGTTGTCCATAACGGTTCCAAACCAAGAAGTATACAGAAAAGAAAATCAGAGGGAGCCCCTGGAGCACTGCAATACATCCGTAAAAAAATCCTGGCAGGGTTGCGGGTTTCGGGGTTTAGGCTATTTTGGGGTTCAGGGGTCTAGGGTATTTAGGGTTTAAGGTTTAGGGGTTTAGGGTTCCCTAAACCCTAAACCCTAACCCCAAACCCTAAACCGGGTTCTGGGAAGACGGCAGCATAGTGATTTCGCCCTAAGAAGCCAACGATTCCACAGCACCTTCTGCCCTTAAGGCACTCGACACCCTGAGCCAGAAAACCCTACTTGGAGGATCATGGGACTTAGGGTTCCTTAAGGGGCTCCTTTTAAAGGGTTCTATAAGGGATCTATAGGGATTTAGGGTTTAGAGTCTACTTGGAGGATCATGGGACTTAGGAATTGGGGTTATAGATAAGGTAACTCTACTTGTAATTGTAATTACTTATAACCCCAGTTAGGGTACTTATAACCTTACTTACTAAGTCCCATGATCCTCCAAGTAAGCCCTAACCTGCAGACCCCTAAACTCCCTCAGCTCTAGGAAGCACGCACGTCGTACCCCGGTACCGAACACGTTCTCTCGGGGACCAGTACTGGTCGCTTCATAAAGTCATTATCCGAAATCCCGAGACCCTGGCTGCCCGACCCATTTTGCCCATGCCCTACTGCTAGAAAGGAAGAAAAGCGCCGAAAGGAATACGGTGACGTTTTTTAAATATATGGGGGCCCGGCCAGCCGCACTGGCCGCAGAGGTAGTATAAAATATTTGTTTAAATCCGTATATTTAAATCCCAGTATGACGTGAGAATGTCGGAAGGTTGAAGGCTGGAAGGGGTTTAGGGCTTGAGGGGTTGAAGGCTGGAAGGCTGGAGACTGCAAGGGCTGGAGGGGTTGAAGGCTGGAGCGCTGGAACGCTCCAGCCCGCCCTCCCGCTTTCCTACCTTTCCAGCCCAGCCCTCCAGCCTTCCAGCCTTCCAGCCTTCCAGCCTTCCAGCCTTCCAGAGCCCTCCAGCCTTCCAGCCTTCCAACTTCCAGCCTTCCAACCCTCCAGCCCTCCAGCCCTCCAGCCTTCCAGCCTTCCAGCCTTCCTCCAGCCCCAGCCCAGCTCTCCAGCCTGCCAGCCTTTTTTTTTGAAGGCTGGAAGGCTGGAAGGCTGGAGGGGGGCTGGAGGGCTGGAGGGCTGGAGGGCTGGAGGGCGGGCTGGAAGGCTGGAAGGCTGGAAGGCTGGAAGGCTGGAAGGCTGGAGGGCTGGAGTGCGCGGAGGCAGGAACGCGTATTGGGCTCACTATTTTGTCACTCTGAAAAGAGGGCTGCGGAAGTCAGCTTAAGCACAGTTGGCTCAAACCCTCACTCTCTACACTGCAGCTACTTACCTAGGTTTCCTAGTGTAGCCTACAAAAATCTCGCACCCCCCTTAGAGGTGGGGTTTGAGAGCAAGCCTCCCGCGGGGCATCCCGCAGTCGGAGGGTGAGACGCCCCTGGTAGGGCGGAGCGTCCCGCGCACAGGGCTGGCAGCCGAAAGGCTCGCCCTGCGGTGCTACCCGCTAGGGGCCTTCAAGGTGGAGGCACCCAAAGGCGGGAGTTGTTCACCGCACTGCCGGGCTTGGTGCTTTGGTGCCCGTTGCGGCAGTGCAGGCACACTCGATGCCTCATTGTTGCTCCCTCCATGAAGGGGCAACCTCTTTGTTGGCCGTGGTACCGGCGCACGACGCGGCCGGTGGCCACCTGAAAAGAGAACCCGGTCCAAAGGTACTCCGAGTTCTGGGGATCTGCTGCGCAATGGCAGCGAAAACCGATCAGGATTTGATCCCGTGGGACGGAGCTCAACCCGTTGCAGTTGGTGAACAGGTGGATCCTGTCACCACAGGCTGTCTCGTAGAGATGCTCGTCGTCCCCGGAAAGGGGTTCCGGTCCCCTACGCCTGCGCCGCACCCTTGGTGCTGCGGGCGGCGGTGGTGGTGGCACGTGTGCCGCAGGGGGCGGACCCGGGGTCCGCTCGCCCTCAGGCTCTGGCTCTTGAGCCCCCCTGGGCTGCTGCCCACCTCCTTGTGCTTGCGCCTGGTTCGGCGCTTCTGCCTGCGCCTGGTTCGGTGCTTCTGCTTGCGCCTCTTCTGGCGCTTCTGGCCTTAGCCAGACCTCTGTGGCCCTTGGGGCTGCACGCGGCGGCTCCTCGGCACGCTCGGCGTGGTGCTCCACTTCAGCCTCGGGCTCAGGCTCGTGCCTTTCGCGTCTGCACCTGCAGAGCCAGGAGACGAGGCCCCAAAGCATCCACAAGAAGGCCAGGAAGCCTAGGGCCGCGAAGCCGAGCACCAGCTCAGCGAAGTCGTGCCCTTGGGCCTTTGCAGGTCGAACCTGCAGTGCCACGATTGTGGCCATGAGCGCCGAGCTCGGAAGCTTGGTCGGCGGACTCATTTTCCAGGGGCTTGCCTGGATTGTCTTGATCGTGCCCTTTTGGGCAAGAGCCTCGGCGGCACCTGCGACTGCGTCGAGGTCCACCATGCCCATGGAGGGCAGGGATTGCCGCACCTCCGGTCCAGTCTTCGCGTGCTTGGTGGCAAAGTTTGCCGGATTCTCGGTTCCCTTAACTTTTCTCAGTTCGAGAAGTTTGGCTCTGAGCGCGCCTTGGACGAAAAATTCCGCGACTTCCAGGTGTCTAAGTTTAGACCCTGGGCCTATCCGCTTGGCGGCTCCGATCGAAGCTGCGGAGTCCGCCCAGAGCCGCGGCAAGCCGCAGGCCAGGGCGAAGTCTTTCTCCGCAAGTTCTCGTAGGAAGACGGCCTCCCTTGCTGCTCGCGACACGCCTCGGATCTCCGCGTCTCCGCTGGAGGTTGCTGGGAGGCCGGGCTGTGTCTGGCAGCTTGTCTGGATGACTGCTCCCCCGAGACAGGCAACTATGTTGTCTGTGCTCCTTCTTGTCTCTGGGCACCCCGCCCAGTCGGAGTCTGAGTAGACCTCCAAGTTCAGAAGGGCTGTGCTCTTGGACGCCGGGTCCAGCACAACCACTCTTCCAAACCGCGGGGTTGCCCGCAGGTATCGCGCGAGGGTTTCCGCAGCGAGCCAATCGCAGATGCGTGGGTTCTGCATTCTGCGTGCCAGCTCTTTCACGGCGAACTGTATGTCGCGCCGGTCTGCCGACAGGTAGATGGCACTACCGACGGCACTGCGGAACCTCGCGGAGTCTCCCGCAGGCGCACCTTGGTCCTTCCGAGGACCTCCACCGCTGTGCCCGGCTCCTCCAGTTCTCCCACCGTTATCTCGCAGTGTGCCGGGAGATCCACCTCGGTGAACTTCAGCACTGCGGCCTTGGGCCCGGCGACACGAATGTCGTCGATATGGTGGAGAAGGATCAAGCCGGACCGGCGGTCTAGGAACACGCACGGGTCCTTCACGCCTCGCTGGAAGTCGTAGTCCTTGCTGAGCTTGCCAGTCAAGACTTCCTCCAGCTCGTCCCTGTAGACGGACCCGGCCGTTCTACGGCCGTAAAGGTTGCCGTCCACCCTAAACACAAAGTCCCGGAAGTGGTCTCGGTACCACTGCTGGTCCTTTGTTGGCTGCTCCAAGACCCATTGGTCAAAGAGCTCGCGCCACTCCACGGGCGCGTGCATATAGACCGGGCAGCCTTCCGCCGCACCGCGGTCCCTCCCAATCAAGAAGGCTGCCACTATATCCAAAGACCTAGTGACCCACCCTTCGTTGTGTAGCGCTGCTACTTCCAAAAGGGAGTGACTCTCGGGCGTTGGCGTTGGGACGAAAACGTCCATGCCAGCTTCCTGCTCTGGGCTGTAGCGGGCCTTGACATCGGCGCATGTACATCTGGACTTGTACCGCCCTTTGTCGCACTTGTCGACCCACTTTGCCCTAAAGAGCTGCGCCCCGCGCGGTACTTCAGACCGCAGCACGGGCGTGAAAGCGCCTCGGTCCCACAGCTTTCTCAGCTGCTCTTTGCGTGCCTGCTCGACCTGCTTAGGGTCGAGCATGCGGTCCAGCAGGTCTGTCACCTGCCCAACCCACGCGTCCCGCTCACCCTGGTAGTTGGTGAGCGGCACGTCGGCTAAGGCAGCGATGTGCTGCCACACCTCGCGCTCAGTGAGCGCTCCTAGCCGCGGTGCCTTCTTGGGCTCCGTGCGGCTCTTAGCTGCAGGCGGCTGCTGTGCTGCCGCTGCGCTCGCGGAGGAACCCGCAGAGTCGCGCTTCTGCCCCCCTTCGCCTGAGCCGTCGTTGGCGGCTGGGGCGGGGCTTGCCGCCTGTGGCGGCGGCGCGCTTGCTGCGGCGGGTGCTGCCTCCACGTCGGACGGTTCGTAGTCCGGTAAAAGTCGGCGTGAGCCAGCTCCTCGGTGGGACTGGCGTCCGGGAGCCTGCTGGCCTGCTCGGCTCCTTCCACTAGGAGGGCCTCGTCGTCGGGCCGTGGCCCGTCGTGAAAGAGCCAGCGCTCACCGGGCGGTTCTCGCCGCTCCACCTCCTCGGCCGGCGTGGCCAGAGGGATTGGCACCATCATCGGCTCGCTGCGCTCTGCTGGCGCTGCGCGGCCAAATCTGGGGTTCCAAGGCAGGCCGCACGCTTTGAGAGCGGCTGCCGTCTGGTGCCGGGTTTCCGGCGGCAGTCGCCTGACGCTCCTCACGTTGAGTGCGCCTGCTTCCGTCAGCACCACGTGGGAGTCGTCGCGCTCCAGCTTGCCAGTCCAGACCCCTTTGACCCAGCGCACTTGCGCTTTGTTCCCGGGCCTTGGGAGCTTGGCTAGCACGGTCCTGCAGCCAGGCGACGTGCCTGACCAGCCACGGGAACAGGTTGGACGAAGTGTCCCACTCTAAGGCGGGTAGTCCGCTCTTAGCTGCGAGAGCCAAGTGCGAACCTCGCCTGCTAGGTGTGCGTTCCTTCCCTCTACGGATCCTTGGCTTTGGTGTGACCCGCGAGGGGCGTCCCGAAGACGCACCCTAGCAGCTCCCAGCCGGCGGTGGACCGCACGGGCCACAGAAGCTTTGGTCGGCCTGCAGGGTGAACTTGTCGTACCCGCGTGCTTGGTGGCGAAGTTTGCCGGATTCTCGGTTCCCTTAACTTTTCTCAGTTCGAGAAGTTTGGCTCTGAGCGCGCCTTGGACGAAAAATTCCGCGACTTCCAGGTGTCTAAGTTTAGACCCTGGGCCTATCCGCTTGGCGGCTCCGATCGAAGCTGCGGAGTCCGCCCAGAGCCGCGGCAAGCCGCAGGCCAGGGCGAAGTCTTTCTCCGCAAGTTCTCGTAGGAAGACGGCCTCCCTTGCTTCTCGCGACACGCCTCGGATCTCCGCGTCTCCGCTGGAGGTTGCTGGGAGGCCGGGCTGTGTCTGGCAGCTTGTCTGGATGACTGCTCCCCCGAGACAGGCAACTATGTTGTCTGTGCTCCTTCTTGTCTCTGGGCACCCCGCCCAGTCGGAGTCTGAGTAGACCTCCAAGTTCAGAAGGGCTGTGCTCTTGGACGCCGGGTCCAGCACAACCACTCTTCCAAACCGCGGGGTTGCCCGCAGGTATCGCGCGAGGGTTTCCGCAGCGAGCCAATCGCAGATGCGTGGGTTCTGCAGTCTGCGTGCCAGCTCTTTCACGGCGAACTGTATGTCGCGCCGGTCTGCCGACAGGTAGATGGCACTACCGACGGCACTGCGGAACCTCGCGGAGTCTCCCGCAGAGAGTTCCTCGGACCTTGACAGGTCCAGAGGCTTGCTCGGCACGACCCCTTTGTCTTTGGGCCCTATGCCGAGCTGCTCGCACACATTGTCTGCGTGCTTGCTGTCGGGCAGCGTGAGGATTGAGTCCTCGGTGCGCACCTTGGTCCTTCCGAGGACCTCCACCGCTGTGCCCGGCTCCTCCAGTTCTCCCACCGTTATCTCGCAGTGTGCCGGGAGATCCACCTAGCACTGCGGCCTTGGGCCCGGCGACACGAATGTCGTCGATATGGTGGAGAAGGATCAAGCCGGACCGGCGGTCTAGGAACACGCACGGGTCCTTCACGCCTCGCTGGAAGTCGTAGTCCTTGCTGAGCTTGCCAGTCAAGACTTCCTCCAGCTCGTCCCTGTAGACGGACCCGGCCGTTCTACGGCCGTAAAGGTTGCCGTCCACCCTAAACACAAAGTCCCGGAAGTGGTCTCGGTACCACTGCTGGTCCTTTGTTGGCTGCTCCAAAACCCATTGGTCAAAGAGCTCGCGCCACTCCACGGGCGCGTGCATATAGACCGGGCAGCCTTCCGCCGCACTGCGGTCCCTCCCAATCAAGAAGGCTGCCACTATATCCAAAGACCTAGTGACCCACCCTTCGTTGTGTAGCGCTGCTACTTCCAAAAGGGAGTGACTCTCGGGCGTTGGCGTTGGGACGAAAATGTCCATGCCAGCTTCCTGCTCTGGGCTGTAGCGGGCCTTGACATCGGCGCATGTACATCTGGACTTGTACCGCCCTTTGTCGCACTTGTCGACCCACTTTGCCCTAAAGAGCTGCGCCCCGCGCGGTACTTCAGACCGCAGCACGGGCGTGAAAGCGCCTCGGTCCCACAGCTTTCTCAGCTGCTCTTTGCGTGCCTGCTCGACCTGCTTATAGGGTCGAGCATGCGGTCCAGCAGGTCTGTCACCTGCCCAACCCACGCGTCCCGCTCACCCTGGTAGTTGGTGAGCGGCGCGTCGGCTAAGGCAGCGATGTGCTGCCACACCTCGCGCTCAGTGAGCGCTCCTAGCCGCGGTGCCTTCTTGGGCTCCGTGCGGCTCTTAGCTGCAGGCGGCTGCTGTGCTGCCGCTGCGCTCGCGGAGGAACCCGCAGAGTCGCGCTTCTGCCCCCCTTCGCCTGAGCCGTCGTTGGCGGCTGGGGCGGGGCTTGCCGCCTGTGGTGGCGGCGCGCTTGCTGCGGCGGGTGCTGCCTCCACGTCGGACGGTTCGTAGTCCGGTATGTCGGCGTTAGCCAGGTCCTGGGTGGGACTGGCGTCCGGGAGCCTGCTGGCCTGCTCGGCTCCTTCCACTAGGAGGGCCTCGTCGTCGGGCCGTGGCCCGTCGTGAAAGAGCCAGCGCTCACCGGGCGGTTCTCGCCGCTCCACCTCCTCGGCCGGCGTGGCCAGAGGGATTGGCACCATCATCGGCTCGCTGCGCTCTGCTGGTGCTGCGCGGCCAAATCTGGGGTTCCAAGGCAGGCCGCACGCTTTGAGAGCGGCTGCCGTCTGGTGCCGGGTTTCCGGCGAGAGTCGCCTGACGCTCCTCACGTTGAGTGCGCCTGCTTCGGTCAGCACCACGTGGGAGTCGTCGCGCTCCAGCTTGCCAGTCCAGACCCCTTTGACCCAGCGCACTTGCGCTTTGTTCCCGGGCCTTGGGAGCTTGGCTAGCACGGTTTCCCCAAAAGAGCAAAGCGCTCCACCACAGTCGGTGCCAGTGGCTGCCCGATATGGTGTCACCCCGTCCGTTGACTTGGAACGGGCCTGCAGCCAGGCGACGTGCCTGACCAGCCACGGGAACAGGTTGGACGAAGTGTCCCACTCTAAGGCGGGTAGTCCGCTCTTAGCTGCGAGAGCCAAGTGCGAACCTCGCCTGCTAGGTGTGCGTTCCTTCCCTCTACGGATCCTTGGCTTTGGTGTGACCCGCGAGGGGCGTCCCGAAGACGCACCCTAGCAGCTCCCAGCCGGCGGTGGACCGCACGGGCCACAGAAGCTACAGGGTGAACTTGTCGTACCCCAGGCGATCCACGAACTGCTCCACAAGCCCCGCGGCGTAGGCCGCGTATCTGTGCCCTTTGTGCGCCACGGGAATTGACAGAGTCCAGCCAGTGGCTCTGTCTGTGAGGTTCAGCACCGTGGCAAGCGACGCTTCTTCCTCAACTTCTTTCCCGTCCCGGCTGTAGAACTGATAATCCATGGTGACAAGTGGCGTCACCGGATCATCAGCGGGCTCACGGCGGCGGTGCGGGTCCTCGCGCGCCCCTCCACGCACTTCTCGCACCACGCCTGGTAGGGCGTGTGAGTGAGCTCGTGCTCGGCGCGTTCTTGCGCCGTGGGGTTGCGCGGTGCCCTCAGGCCGCGTGGCCTTGAGTCAGGCTGCTCAGCCTGCTCCTCGAGAGGGGCGGGGTTACCCGCGCCCTCTTCCTCTTCAGCAGCTTCGGCCTCTTCGGCTGCTGCTGCTTCCATCGCCGCGTCCTTTTTTTTTGCGCCCGGCGGGAGCTCCCGCTCGTAGGGTAGGAGGAACTGTGACCCTCTCTTGAGGATCGAGGCTCGGACGCCGTCTGGCCACAAAATGTGGCTGTCCTCTCGGTGGAGCCAAATGCCCGCACCGGCCTCAACAGCACGGCTGATGCTGAGGATCTCGTCCTCTATGTCCTCGGTCACCTCAAAGTTGACCTTGCAGGACTGGCGCTCCTCCCCTAAGAGGAGGCTCGGCTGGACACGGCCCTTTGTCTTCAGGCGGCTGTTGTCCACCGAGTAAAGGCTCTTTGGTGGGCCCGCGGGCTGCAGGTCGGGAAACGCCTCGGGCCTGCAAACGGACACACGCGCCCCGGAGTCCACGAGAAGACTCCCCGACACCTTGAGGATCTTTTCTTCCTCTGGCTCGGTGTCGTGAGGCGGGGCAAACCGCACACCTAAGATGCGGTCGTCGCGCACCTGGCGCACCTGGCCTTTACCGCCAGAGCCGCCAGTGCTTCCACCAGCTTGGGACGCGGAGGGGCCCGCAGTCGCCAAGGAGGCTGTTGACAACGTGGTGGCCGCGTTGGGCCACCTGGCCTTTGTTGCCTTTGCCCTTCCCCTTGGCGTTGAACCAGCACTCCTTTACGGTGTGCCCCGTTTTCCAGCAGATTGGGCATCTTTCCTTGCCGTCTCTGCCTCCTTGCTGGTTCCCCTTCTTGTCCCCTTTCTTTCCTTTGTTGTCGTGGTCGCCCTTGCCCTTCTTGTGGTCCTTGTCCCCCTTCTTGCCCTTTTGGTCGCCTTTGCCCTTCCCTTCTTTTCCGTGGTCCCCTATTCTGCCAATGTCCATGGCGTTAGGGTCCCTTCGGGAAGAGGCGGCGTAGCCCGCACTCGGGGTCCAAACCCTTTTGGCTTGCAAGTAGCTCACCACTACCTCCCTCACCTCGGCATAAGTCCCGAGACTCGCCGCGTGCATAGCGAGGTGCTGCCTGAGAGCGTTGGGGCTCTCAGTCACCAGCACTGCCCGCAGATCTTCGTCTGCTCGGGCGCGCCCTGCGCCATTTCGGTCATGGCGGTCATCTGGAGTGGCACCTTGCACTTTCGAGCCACCTCCAGCTCTGCTGGGTACCTGGTGTCTACGACCGCCAGGTAGGACTCTGCCTGAAAGGCAAAGCGCTCCCAGTCGTCTCGCCCCTTAAAGGCGGCAGGGAGCCGCATGCTCTTGAGCAAGTGCCCTCCACCGCTCGCCTGCGCAGGCGCAGGGGCGGGTGCCGCCGGAGCGGCTGCTGCAGCAAGGCCCTGTGTTTGCTGTCTTTGGGCCGCAAGCTCGCCAATCGCAGCCTGCAGCTGCTGCGCTTGGCTCTCCAGCAACCCCCTAAGGGTTGCCACTTCCCCGCGCAGCGCCTCGACCACGGGGTCGCCCTGCGGGGGTGGATAAGCCGGCTGCTGGCTCATCTCTTGACGCGTCGAAGATAGCCTGGCTGATCTCGTCCAGCAAGGTCAGGGCTTCTCCGTACTGCTGTGCCAGCCTTGGGTTCCCTTCCCAAGAAGTCTCTGGCCTGCTCCGGGCCGCGTGCCTGAGTCCGTTCAAGAACTGGCACGGCCCTTGGCCCTCAGAGGAACTCTCCTCTGTCTCCACCTGCTCACCGTCGTCGGCCGGTGAGGTGTTCAGTGGAGGCGGTGGCCCAAGGTGAGGCGGCGGCGCCTTCACCGTTGGGGCCTTCGCTGCCGGAGCGCCCTTTGGCAAGGCCTTCGGCTTTGCCTCCGGGGTGGCCTCGGTGGGTCCACTCGCCGGGGCTGCTTGCTCTTGCCCAGCTGCTGGGGCTCACAGAGCTTTCTTCTTTTGCCTTGGGCGCAGCCTTCGGTGAGGCTTCTGGTTTTGCCTCCTCGGCTGGCTCTGCGGCCCGCGCCACCCGCGAGGCCCGCGGCGCCGAGAGGCGCGAAAGAGAGGGTACAGACCCGGTCGTCCTCAGAGAGGGCCCGGGGACTGATATCCCAGAGCCGCGCACCCCGGAGGAAACTCCCGAAGGTGCCGGCCAGGTGATTCAGAGCCCCAGCTCTGAGTCCTCCTTGGACACCGCGGCGGTGCCCAAGGTTCCAGTCTTCACAGGCCCCGCGCCTGGAGAAGACACACCGGACTTCGGAGGAAGCGACTCCGAAGGAGAGCGGGAAGCCCCGCCCGCTGCTGCTGCAGCTTCCTCTTCTAGCGGGGCCGTCCCTGCTAAGAAAGAGGAGCCGGCAGAGCGGGTCGCTTGGGCACCTCGGCCGTTCTTCTTCTTCCCAGGGCCTTGCGCGGGCTCCTGGAGCTGGCTTGCCCTTCGCGGGCTGCTCTGCTCCCTTAGCTTGGGCTGCCTTGCCCTTGGCGGGCTGCGCAGCTCCTTTGGCAGGCTTGCCCTTTGTGGGCTTCCCTGCTCCCTTTTCCCCTCGGCGGGGGGTTCGGCTCCCCGACTCCGAGGCGGGGCGGCCCGCACTCGGGCCGGTTTTGCCTTTGCCCTTTTCGGGCTCGGCTGTTCTGCCCCGGTTTTGGTTAGGGGCTTCTGTGCGCTCGCCCATGAGAGGGCGGCGCGGTCGAGCTGGAGCTTCAGCGGCTCCGCTCCCTTTGGCACCCTGCGGTGCCTGGCTGGAAGAAGCCTCCTCCTGGGAGGTCCTCCAGTCCCACTGGGAACTCCAGTCGGAGTCCCAGTCCCACCAGCCCCACCACTCGGACGTGGCGGCTGGAGGGTGGCGGTTCGGCCCGCGCACCCTTGGAGCGTCGGGGCCTACCGAACCAGCTCCGCTACCATGCGCGGAGGCAGGAACGCGTATTGGGCTCACTATTTTGTCACTCTGAAAAGAGGGCTGCGGAAGTCAGCTTAAGCACAGTTGGCTCAAACCCTCACTCTCTACACTGCAGCTACTTACCTAGGTTTCCTAGTGTAGCCTACAAAAATCTCGCATGGAGGGCTGGAAGGCTGGAAGGCTGGAGAAGGCTGGAAGGCTGAAAAGCTGAAGGCTGGAAGGCTGGAAGGCTGGATGGAGTGCTGGAGTGCTGGAGGGCTGGGTTGGGAAGGTTGAAAACTGGTTGGAAGGCCGGAAGCTGGAGGGCTGGGGCTTGGGGCTGGAAGAAGGCTGGAAGGCTTGAGGAAGCTGAAAGGTTCGGCTTCTACTTGAACCCGAATCCCTTAAACCCTAAACCCCAAAATCCTAAACCCCAAACCCACCAATCATCTGCTAATCTCCGGATATTTTATTTCGTGGCGGGCCCGGGCGATGTTTCACGGAGGTAGTGTAATATACCTGTTTAACCTATTTAAATATCCGTGTATTTAAAAACAGGCGCCGTAGGTTTTGGTGGCTTGGCCGCCTTGTACGGCGTGGGGTGGAAACCCGAAAGCTCTACACCCTACGAAAGTTAGCAGGTACTTGGAGGATCATGGGACTTAGTAGGTACACTTATAAGTACCTTACCTGCGTTTAAAACTTCTCTAAAACTAACTATAAGTACAGTTATCTTACTATAGCGGCCTTGATAACTACACCTCTGCTGTTTGGGGGCTCCTGAATGTAATCATAGTCGTCCATGAGCGCGGTAACTGGCAGTCCCCAAAAGCCGAGTTTGCCTCGACTTATGCAGGCAAAAGACTTAGGGGTTTGCGGTTAAAGCTTAGGGTTTAGGGTTAGGGTTTCGGTTATTTTTAGGGTTTAGGCGCGGACCCTAAGCCCTAATCCCGAAAACCCAGCCCCCAAAGGATCGACATGCGCAAGATGATCGCATCAAAAAGCAGTGAGAAGATGCTGAAGAGGCTGCTTTGTTTCAAAGATCACAGGGTCTTGCAGGGTGTCGTGCATCTCACAGAGCAGTATAGGGCTTAAAAGGTTGAGAAGTGTTTACGGTTTATTCTGGGCTCCGAAACAGTCACAAACCCAAAACACTCAAAATCCTCGCGGTTTGGGCTTCTGTAGAGTTTTAGGATTTGGGCAGCGGGTTCAGGGTTGAGGGAAAGAAGTAGGTTATGAGAGTCGTTGAGTACTGCAAAAGATTAAACCCCTCCCTGCCTAGCAGCCACCCTACCCCACCCCACACCCCACCCTACCCTGACCGACCTCACCCCTTAGACAGGTATCTCCTTCTAGATACCTTTTGAAAGAATGGAGGAAAGGTTCGTGCCGTTTCTCCAGCCCAAGAGGGACCCTGGATAGGAACCTGAGTCTGATCCTCCCAGCAGTCGTCTTTGGTTGGAGTCTTTTTTTTGGAGGTTCGGTTTACTGGCAAGTAACATTCTAGCTATGGCCCAAGAATCACCTGTGCACCTGACTGAGGCGACTTTATCATGACTTATCATTGGGGTAAAAAGTGGACATCATTCTCCTCATGCCGTTGAGGTGATGTAATCAGAGGGATTCTAGCACTAATCATCTCAAATTCATGTTCTAACTTCCTGCGGCTCACTTGGAGTTTCCGAGTTGAGGACTATGTTCTCGGAGGAGAAGAGACAGCCGCCCTAAACCCAAAACCCCTCAACCCCTAAACCCTAAAAAACGTAAACCCTAAAAGCTTCCACACCCCTAAACCCCTCAACCCCAAACCCCCTTTGACACTGAGAGTTCAGGGTCTACCTGAAAAGCTACGACGAGTGAGGGTTCAGGTTTTGGAGTTTTGGACAACATCGTACACTGGAGTCCCGAAACATAGGCCCAGGCGCTTGAAGGTTCCGTCTAAGGGTTCCTTTAAAGGCTCTATAAGGGCCCCTTTAACGGTTCTGCAAGGGTACTACAAAGGTCCCTTTACGGGTACTGCAAGGGTTAGTTTTAAGGATTCTATAAGGGTACTATAAGGGTTCCTTTAAAGGGAGCCCTGTAGGGTTCGTTTAAGGGTTCCCTTCGAAGGTTGCTTCTAAGGGTTCCTTGAAGGGCTGATCATGCGGAGTTTAGCTTCAGGGTTGAGATAGTATAACGGGTGTAGGCTTTAGGATCTAGGAATGGTGCTGATGAATTTTCAAGCACCTATATTACGCAGCAAGTCCTATCAACTCCCAAAACTTGAGGGCCTCGCGTCTCTCCGTTCTTCCTTTTCCAGAAACTTTGTAGTTGGAAAAATGGGCACCCTCGTTTTTACAGCGCCGCTGCGAGCCGTTGAGCTCGTGACCCTCCAAAACTCCAACTTCTGACTGAGGTTTGGCAAGTTCATGTAACCTCAAACCATCTCAAACCACAGACACCATCAAGCCACATAACACCGAGCCCTCTAGAACCTTATGAAACACCGCAAAGCCCGATAGCACCCTCAACCCCAGAGGTTTGACAAGTTCATGCACTTCCTTAGCCACCTTCCCTCCTGGGTGATGATGGACTTGCAGAACCTGGTGCTGCTCCAGGCCCGCCGCGTTTGAGGTTTGGGGTGAGCAGTCTGAGTCGTTGGGTTCAGGGTTTAGGGTTTACTCGTACTACTGCGACTGTCATCTTGATGACAACGGTAATGATGATGATAAGTACTTTTCATGGTTTTGATGCACACACGCACGAGGCGTACGTACAGTCACGCCTGGTTTCAGCCTACAAAGCTCCGCTTGCTCAGATCTCAGAACTTCGCCCTCGCAAACCACTTAAAAGTCACTAGCGCCACCTGTTCGATAGATTTCTCACAAAGCCGATCGCTACCTTCTCGGAGAGAGATCACGACTTGGCTGTCTGCAGTTATCTCCAGCCTCTGCGTGACGCGAACAGAGAACCTTAAACCCCTAAACCCTACACCTCTAAACCCCAGCCCCTAAGAACCCCTTAACCCTAAACCCTAGCGTAGATCCCTTAAAGGCACCCCTAGAGTTCCTTTAAGGGAGCCCCCGTAGGCTTCACCCAGCCGGAGGTCGGAAATGGCTTGATCCAGAAGATGCCAGACACTCGTCAATGATTGGAAGGTTAAGAGTTTGGGGTTAGGATTTAGGGTTTAGGGGTTCAGGGTTTAGGGGATTTAGGGTTTATTGGATTTAAGGTTTAGGGGTTTAGGGGTTTAGGGTTTGCGGAGGTTCTTTCCGGTTCTCTGGTTCGTAAGGTTTGAGATTTGGCACTCTGGAAGCCTTTAGTTCTCGAATGGTCCCATGCATGCACCTCTTCATGATTGTTTTAGGGTGTCTTAGTATGGTTTAGGGTTTAGGGTTTAGGGTTTAGGGTTATGGCAAACCAGATAAAGAGATAAAGCATGTATCAAGTTTTGCAGGGTTTGATACGATTTGGAAGGCTTGTGGGATTTGATTCTCAGAGGGTCTCTTGGGGTTTAGGGGTTTAGTGTTTAGGGGCTCATTGGACTTTGGTGCACTTGGAGGGCCAGGCTGCCTAGAGTCAAGCACGTATAGCTCTGCTCTGCGCAAAACCCTTCCTGGAAGGCCTAACAGTGAAGCCTAATCCCGGAACATACTTAAACCTTTGCTAAAAATGCCCCTAGACCCTAAACCCCGAAACCCCAAACCCGAAAGGTGCTAAACCCAAATACCCTCGACTCCCAGGACCTTGAACCCTCAAATCCTCAACCCTACAGAACCTTAACATCTACGCACCTTAAAACTCCCTAAACGCTTTAAGCCCGTCGAAGCGACGGTGGCCCGCCCAGCGCGCGGATCACAAGCACAAGCATTCCTTAGTAGCTGAGTGGATACACTTTACACTTTTGGGATTAGATTACCAACTATAAAACTGAAAGCGCAGATTTTTTGGGGCTTATGAACTCAGCAACTAAGATTCTTCGTTACTCATACTCGTGATCGTGGTTGTGGTACTTGGAGGGTCGGGGGACTTAGTAAGTAGGTAGTAGACTAATAAGTACCCTAAAAGGGACCCTAATTGGGGTTATGGTACTTATAAGTCCCTAAAATAACCAGTTACTAAGTCCCCCTAAACCCTAAACCCTATACCCTTATAGAATCCCTATAGATCCCTTTAAAGGACCCCTTTAAAGGAACCCCCTAATATGGTTACTAAGTCCCCTAAAGACCCTCCAAGTAGTCATCCCATAGGCCCCTAAACAGGTTGGTTCAGTGCTTCCGTACGGCTCTTATCAGGCTTTGCTAAGAGTTTTGGGAAGATTTATGGTATAGGGTTTAGGGTTTAGGGTTTGTGCAAGGCTTGTATCAGAATCAGCGATCTTCAGCCACACGAGTACGACGTCTAATTTACAGACAATCCAAACATGGCGACCCATATGACCAAAAACATGCTTCTCCAGGGACGCAGACAGGAAGCCTCACTTAACCTAACATACGCAACCAGCGAAGCCCCGAATCTTTTTCCCCTTCTGCCCCAGACTCTGAGACTTGCAGCCGTATAGCAAATTACAGCCCCAAAAGGCCAAATCCAAACAGAAAAGGTCCCTATGTGTCATCAAATACCTGATCGTCTTCAAGCCAAGCACCCTAAACCGCAAACCATGAATCCCTAAACCTCTAAACTCTACAGACCCGTAAGTCCGGCCCCTCAGAAGCTTTGCCACTGCAAGCAAGGAGAACATGACACGCCAGCTTCGCGATGCGGGCGGTGTGGAGGCCAACAGCCCGAACACCCAAACCCACTTGGCGGGCTCGGATTTGAGGGAGTTTTTGCAGTCACATCTTTATAAATATCCTTCCAAAGTAGCCTATTATACGAACTCTCATGGGAACCCTTACAGTAACGATTTTAGTAACACCGGCAGAAATTAATCCTGAAGGGACCTTTAGTATCTTTAGTAGCCCTTGTAGCGATGCTAGGAAGCCTGAACCACCCGTTGAGGTTGGGCCTTCAGTTCTTGTGAAGTGGTGAAAGGGAGCATGTTGGATTTTTGGGGCTTGGGGTTTCGGAGTCCTTACGATTCATGAATTTCTTGTTGGGTGGGCATCCAGGGCGAGTGGGGGGTAGGGTGGTGAAGCTTGGGCCCACAGCTTCGGTGAACGACAGGTGGAAGTTGAGTCTCGCCGGCCGGAGGACGAGGCAATCTGGGCTCGTTTCTCCTTGTATGTTGCGGTCTGCATAATGCGGGCCTTAGACCAGCAGCTCTAAGCCACAAATCCCGAACTTAAAGCCTCTAAACCCTAAACGGGCGCTTGGCCCGGGTTGTTGGTTGACGGTTTGAGGTTCAGGGCTGCCAGTGTTGAAGTTCAACTTTCAGGGTCCGGGCCTTTTGTTTCAAGGGTTGGGATTACAGTAGACCCCATAAAGTTGGAAACCAGGTTAAAGCCAAATAGTGCTGGGATTCCCTATACATTACTCTTAAGGATTGAGGCTATGGGGTTTCCAACTTTTGGGCTTCTAATGTAGGGCCGTTTAGGGTTTGGGGTTCAGGGTTTCGGGGTTTAGGATGTAGTGGAAGCTTCTGGTGCAGGGGCTGGGCCCAAACGATGTGAAGCCTTCTTTGTTTGTGGGGGCTTGCCCACACAAGGAGCCATGCAGCTCTGAATTCCCCGACCTAAGAATCAGACAAACGCTCTAAATCCTAAGCCGTTGAAACCCAAACCTTGACACCCTAAGCCTAACAAGCAACCAACATGTTAGACTCCAAAGTCTAAATTCCAAAGCCCCTAACCCTAAGACCCTAAAACTATCAAGTCCACACCCAAAGCCCTAAACCCCTCATGCCTAAACTGTGAAACGCTAAATTCCATAATCCTAAGTTCCTAAAGCCCGAACCCCGAAACCTGAACCTGTGTGTAGGGGTCTGAATAAAGAAGAAGCAGTCACCGTCGTGGTAGTAATCGTAGTAGTCGTCGTATTGTTACTCCAATTTGCAGTGGTAGTCTGCATGCAAATGCGCTATAATATACCCCAAAGCGAAATTCCAATTACCAAGGCATCTAAATCAAAGGCCAAATCCCTTGGCCCGATCCTCATGCGGGTGGTGAGGCGGAGCTTTTCTTTACAGCCATGAAGCAGATGGAGGAGGTTGCCGCCAGGCTGAAATTCCTCAACCCCCCAACCCTAATGGCCTAAACCCCAAAAACTAGGGTTTGGGCTGAGGGTTTGAAGGAGATTCCTGGGCCTGGGTTTGGTAAGGCTTGAGCATACTGTGTATGTTTTGCTTTGTGTTTTCGTGTAGCTTGAGGCCGTAGGGTTGAATCAGGATGCAGTACTAAACTTGAATCCTAAACCCTAAGCCCTGAAGTTTAGCGAACCGCAGCGCACGAGTTCGAGACATACCGTTTGGAGTTCAAGAGTGCGGAGTCTTAGGAAGGTTTACACGCCAAAGGGGGCTGCAGCCTTATTGAAAAGACCCTACACAGGACCCTAACTTAAATATAATACAGCTGCCCGCATGGGTGAACGGAAACACTGCAAAATTACGCCTTTCTTCCGAACTCCGAAGCCCTAAACTCTTAATCCTAAACCCTAAACCCAATCCGAAACCCTAAATCAGAAGCCCTGATCGTTTTAGCGCTGGGTCGGCTTTTGGGCTAAGTTCCGGTTCCATTACGCCACTAGGGGCTCCTTTAATAAGGGACCCTTTCAGAGATAATTTTTGAGGGTTCCTTTAGGGGATCCTTTAAGGGTTCAGGGTTTTCGGGTTTAGAGTTTAGGGTTAAGGGCTTAGGGTTTATGCATCCTGACTGCGTTAAGTTCGCGCTTAGGCCCAGACCACACCCAAACTTTGATAACCAGAAATTCTAAGTTAAGACCCAAAAACCTCAACAACTTAAAAAACGCTGAAGCCCTGAAACCCTAACCCCTTAGCCGTCGAACCGTTAACTCAAGCCCCCGAAGCTTTACTGTTTGAGGTTCCCAACTCTCCGTCGGCCTCCGCATCTCCGAAGATAGCAAACTCCTAGGCCATCAGGACCAGGGGGGTTAAGCGTTTTAAAGGGGTTTATAGGGGTTAAGGGGGGTTTATAGGGGCTTATAGGGGTTTATGGGGGTTGAGAGAGGTCTTCGGGGGTTTGCAGGGGTTCATAGGGTTTAGGGATGTAGGGTTTGGGATTCAGGGTTCGGCTTCAGGGTTCTTCGGTTGAGGGTTTGGTGTGGAGGTGGGGGCTCGACCTGTAGGATTGAGATTACTTGAAGTCGGCTTTGAAGAAGTTAGGGGTCTGTGGAATATACTTTGATTATCCAGTAGTAGTCAGTAGCTAGATTGTTAAGCTAACATACCCACGTACCTACCTACTTGCTACCTAGTGGCCTGTACACCATTCTCCTGCCAGGCATTGTGCTACACAGGCAGATCTGGGGGCCTAGACTGGCCTAGATCCTAAAATCCAAACCCTTGACCCTAAACCCTAAACCCTAGACCCTGAAATCCAAACCCTAGACCTTAAACCCTGAACCTCCGCCGTTGCAGGCCCTTGGCCGCAACTGCCTTTCCTTGATGTGGAGAAGATTCTGCAGCAGTTCTTAAAAGTAGATCCCTCAATGGGGGTTCCTATAAATAAGTACCCCTAGTAGTATAGGGCCGCTAATTAGGGGATCGTGCCGGGCCGCAGAACCCGCAAGCCTAAACACGGGCCAGAGCAGCGCCACGATGTGATCTAGGAGCCTTAAGGGTTCCTTTAAGGGTTCCATACAGGGTATCGTAAGGGTTTAGGGTTTAGGGCTTCTTTAGGGGCGGTTTACTAGGGTTCCTAGGGTTCCTTTAAAGGGGTCTATGAAGTGTTACTATAAGGGATATCTATATAAGGGTACCATAATATAGGTGCCTGAATAATTACCAATACTATTTTTGGGCTCCTTAGTTACAGTATAATCGACCCCCAAACATTGGGGCCCCTGTTGTATTTAGTACTTAGGCTACATGCAGGATCCCACATCGGCTACTCACACGCTCTGTAGAGTCTGTTACTGGCAGGCTCAGAAACCCTCTGTCTCACACATTGTTTAGCTCTCCTTGTAGCCCTGTGGCCAAAGTAGCTTTGGGGGCAGTTGGCCCCCATGCACACGCAGAGTCCGGGGGGCAAAAAAATGGCGGCAAGGAGTGCTGGGTCTCATAGGAATATACGTGGGTTTAGGGTTTAGGAAAGTCTGGCAAACTTTAAAGATCAGGGGATTTAGTAAGCTGAGTCGTTATCAGGACAGCCGGGTACCTAGAGCCTTACTTATAGCCTTCTGGTTGCGGCTTTTGTCGGGATCTGAATCTTTACTGGTATATTTTCCTATAGCCTAGACCCTGAATCCTAGACCAGACCCCGAAAGGCTTTCATTTTGGAAGCTCGGGGCACTTGTTCAATCGGTCATGGTTAGGACTTCGGGTTTACGGGTTTAGGGGCTTAGGGTTGAGGGTTTAGGGTTCAGGGTATACGAAGAATGTTGTAATCCTAAAAATAACACCACAAACAACTTTGCAGGAGCAGTCATGGTGTCCTTTTGAAGCTCTTTGTTTGTTGTAAGGTATACCCCCCAAGTCCTGTTACATACAGGCTCATGAAATTGTTTTTCTAACCTTACAACCCTACCTGGACCCTATGAAACCTTCCTTTTTAGGGTTCCTTATTATGGTGTCTTTATATAAGTTACTTGAAGCGGTAGGATATTTGGGGTCCAGGCAAAGTAAGCCCAGAGCCTTAAGCCTAAAACCTTAAATCCTGCACCTTAAATCCTAAACCCTGCACCCTCAACCTTAAACCCGAAACCCCCCAATTGGAGGATCATGGGACTTAGTAAGTAAGGTTATAAGTACCCTAATTGGGGTTAAACGTGCAGGTGCCTTGATTTATAACCCGAATTACTAAGTCCCATGATCCTCCAAGCAAAGCCGCAAACCCTAAACCCTCCAGAGAGCGCAATACCCCTTAATTACGGAATATAGCTTAAATCATAATCTGAATCCCCGTATAATTTAAGCTATATTCCTTAATCAAGGGGTATTGGGCTCTGGGCTGAAACTCCCAACCCCGCAGGATGGACACTGGACTAAACCCTAAACCCCTAAAGCCCTAAACCCCTAAAGCCTAAACCCTAACCCTTAAACCCTAAACCCTGAACCCTAAAACCCTAAACCCTAAACCCTAAAACCCTAAACCCTAAACCCCAAATCCCGCAGGATGCCAGCTTGGATGTCCAGTTCGGTGACCGGGGCCTCGTCCCGCTCCTGGTGAAGGAGCTCCAAGGCGACTGCAGGACTTTGTGCTTTAGGTGTTCAGGGGTTTAGGGTTTAGGGTTAAGGGTTTAGTATTTAGGGTTTAGGGGTTTCTACTTGGAGGGTCGGGGGACTTAGTAACTAGTTATTTTAAAGACTTATAAGTACCATAACCCCAATTAGGGTCCCTTTTAGGGTACTTATTCGTCTACTTACCACCTACTTACTAAGTCCCCCGACCCTCCAAGTAGGGGTTTCTAGGGTTCCTTTAAAGGGGTCTATGAAGGGTTTCTATAAGGGATCTATAAGGGTATTATTCTAGAGGGGCCTGAATAGTTCCCGATACTTTTTTGGGGGTTCCATATTATAAGTATAGTATAAGATACCCAAGCCCTTATGCTAATTATTAAGGTCCCTATGTTAGGTGCTTAGGGGTTTACCTAAAGTCTCCAGTGTAGTTCCATGTTTGACATTAAGCAAGTTTCTGGGCTTGTTTGGCATGGAGGGTTGATGGTTTTGGGATTTAGGGTTTATAAAAAGTCTCCATTGTAGTCCCTGTTTGTAGGTAAATCAGACAAGGAACTACAATGGAGATTATAGGCATAGGTACATGAGGGGCTCACAAAGGTGAGCTAGGTTCGAGGTTGCTTTCAAGGTTGTTAGGCTCGTCTTTTTGTCATGTTTTTATACAGTGCTTTTCGGTCCTCCGCGCCTTTATTTTTATCGGCCTCTTACCAGACTGGAAAATACGGTTCAATACTGGCGGTTTCCCGGTTCAGGCTTTACAGGGGGTTTGGGGTTTAAAGCAAACCTAGAGAGCCTACACTTTGTACATCCTTCCAGAGCGCCTGCAAGAACAAACTTGAACCGCGATCCCCGATAGAGCCCGGACCCTGCGCCCCTGATACCCACACTCCAGACTAGAACACCCTTTTTACACTAAACCCTACACCCCAAACCCAAAACCCCAAAGCCCGAACCTCAATCCGGCCAGCCGTAGTCGGACCCTTTCTTTAGGAGATCCTTTGTAGAACCCTTAAAGTAACCATGAAAGGAGCCCTAAACCCCTAGCCCCCAATCCCGAACGAAGCCTCACCGCCTTGGATCTTGGAAGATGCCGGCGGCGGTGGTGAGCCGAGTGACTGCCAGGCAGACCAGGGCACAGGTTGATGTTCGATTTAAGCATATTCCCTAAACCCTAAACCCTATTCCCTAAACCCTAAACCCTAAACCCTAAACCCTAAACCCAGGGTTTGGGGTTTAGGGCTTGGGATTTAGGGTTTAGGTTTTGGGGTCAAAGGTTGAAGGTTTAGGGTTTAGTAGGATTCTGGACTTCGGATTCAGCATGCCGGTTTTTCACTTCGGGTGTCCCTTCTGTTCTCAGATTTTTATAGAGGTCTGCAGCTTGGAGTTTAGGGCTTCGGGTTTCAGATCTTGATTCTACTTAGTAGCTGAGTGGATGCACTCTACACTTTTTGGGAATACATTACCCACTATAAACCTGAAAGTCTACACGTTTTGGGGCTTATGGACTCAGCAACTCAGTCTAGGCTGTGGCCTTTGAGTCTCTAGAGTTGTGTGTTTCAAGCATCAAGGCCCGTAAATTAGACCCAAACCCTAAACCCTAAACCCTAAACCCTAAACCCTAAACCCTAAACCCTAAACCCTCTGTCATCAAATTAGACCCAAAGCCCAAGTTCCCCAAAGTAGCCCCCAAAGCCCTAAACCCTTAAAGCCCTAAGCCCTCTACTTGGAGGATCGTGGGACTTACGGTTGATGATATAAATCCTGCATTACCTTAAGGACTCTAAACTATGGGAATTATGGTATATTCTTTATTATGGGTCATGCAGGATTTATATCATCAACAGTAGTAACCAGGCTTATAAATAAGGTAACTATACTTATAACCCCAGTTGGGGTACTTATAACCTCACTTATTAAGTCCCATGATCCCCCAAGTAGTACCCTAAACCCTAAACCCTATAGATCCCTATATAGAACCCTATAGCTCCCTTTAAGGATCCCTTTAAGGAGCGCTATAATCCAAGTACCCCTATACGAAGCCCTTGAAGGAGCTCGTTCTCTAAGTATTAAGGCCCCTATTGTACATCCTTAAAAAGAACGCTTCTAGTAGCCCGTTAAACGAAACCTCGAAGTTAGTAGCTGAATGAGTATATACATGCTACAGTTTTTGGGATAGTGTTACCCCCTGTAGAACTTTGAAAGTGTACACTTTTTGGGCTTATGAAGTCAGCAACTTGTTAAGGGAACACTGTGATGTTATGGGCTACGGGATCCCTATGATACCCCCTAATCCCTTGTAGTAGTCCCTATTACCTTCAATCTTAAACTCTAAAGCCTAAACCCTTAAGAACCGCTTGTAGGATCAGGGGGCTTGGTCAGTGCAATTTTAAGTACCCTAAATAGAGTTACAAGCAAATGTATGTATAGTTACCCTAGCAATCGCCCTAGTTACCAAGTCCTATGATCCTTATTCTCACGGTGGCTTTACACGGTCTGCTCGCCTTACGGACGTGCAACCGGCCCGCAGACCTTCCCCACCGATGAGGGAGTTTCCGAAAATAGGGGGACCCTAATATAGTACCCTAAAATAGTAGGATCCTTATTATAAGGACTCCCAAATAAGGTACCCCTATTTTCGGAAACTCCCATGAGGATTGGCTTACCTTTCGGACCGCGGACCACGAGCTGATGAAGCAACTTGCTGGACTTGGAACCCAAAAAGATCCCAATACCCCT